CGGGAGATTGTCCGATTGCATGGGGTTCCAGTGTCCATTATCTCTGATAGGGGTACTCAGTTCACTTCTCAGTTCTGGAGGACTTTTCAGCGGGAGTTGGGTACACAGGTGGATTTGAGCACAGCGTTTCATCCTCAGACGGACGGGCAGTCCGAGCGTACTATTCAGATATTGGAGGACATGTTGCGTGCCTGTGTTATTGATTTTGAGGTTCTTGGGATGAGTTTTTGCCGCTTGCAGAGTTTGCCTACAACAACAGCTATCATTGAGCATTCAGATGGCTCCGTATGAGGCATTGTATGGGAGGCGGTGTAGGTCTCCGGTGGGATGGTTCGAGCCCGGCGAGGCTAGGTTATTAGGGACAGAGATGGTCCAGGATGCCTTAGAGAAGGTGAAGCTGATTCAGGAGAGGCTTCGTACAGCACAGTCGCGTCAGAAGAGTTATGCGGACCGGAAGGTTCGGGATGTGTCATATATGGTGGGTGAGAAGGTCTTGCTGAAGGTTTCGCCCATGAAGGGTGTTATGCGGTTTGGGAAGAAAGGGAAGTTGATTCCGCAGTTCATTGGACCTTTTGAGGTACTTAGGAGGATTGGGGAGGTGGCTTATGAGCTTGCCTTGCCACCCAGCTTGTCGGGCGTGCATCCGGTATTTCATGTTTCTATGCTCCGGAAGTATGTTGGGGACCCATCTCATGTATTGGATTTCAGCACTGTTCAGTTGGATGATGATTTGACCTATGATGTGGAGCCAGTGGCTTCTTTGGGTCGTCAGGTTCGAAAGTTGAGATCAAAGGATATAGCTTCAGTAAAAGTGCAATGGAGAGGTCGGCCCGTGGAGGAGGCTACTTGGGAGACCGAGCGAGAGATGCGGAGCAGATATCCTCAGTTGTTTGAGACTTCAGGTATGTTTCTTGACTCGCTCGAGGACGAGCGTTTGTTTTGGTTGGGGAGGATGTGACGAACCGGCTCGTCGTCATGTGAGTTACCGCCCCGTTTTCCCCATTTTCTGCTTCCTTATGTTTTACTATAAGAGTCTTGAGTGAATGAGTCGATTTGGATTAATTTTGGATGGAAATGAGACACAAAGTCTCTTTAAGGAAGGTTTGCCTTGGAAAAGTCAACCAAATGTTGACTTATGAGTTAGAGGGCTCGGATGTGATTTCCGGTGATTTGGTTAGCTTCAGGGGATGATTTGTGACTTAGGAGCGTGATCGGAATTGGTTTCGGAGGTCCGGTGTAGAATTAGGCTTGAATTGGCGAAGTTAGTATTTTGGCGAATTCCGGTTGTTAGGTGAGATTTTGATCCGAGGATCGGAATGGGATTCCGAGAGTTGCTGTAGCTTCGTTAGGAGATTTTGGATATGTGTGCAAAATTTCAGATCATTCGGAGGTGTTTTGGTAGGGTTTTTGATCAAATGCGTAATTCGGAAGTTTTGGAAGAACTTAGGCTTGAATCCGATGTAATTTGAGGGTTTTGGTGTTAATTGTGGTATTTTGATGATTGGAGCAAGTCTGAATGATGTTTTAAGATGGATTGGCACTTTTGGTTGAGGTCCCGGGGGCCTCGGGGTGATTTCGGATAGCCATCGGGATGAAATTTGGACTTATCAGATTGCTGGTATGCCTGGTTTCTGGTATTTCTGCATCTGCGGAAAAGGAACCGCAGATGCGGTTGCGCAGGTGCGGAAGAAAGATCGTAGGTGCGGTCATTGGCCTGGATGGAAGGATCCGTAGATGCGGTAGGGAAGCCGCATCTGCGAGGCCGCAGATGCGGTAAAATAGTCGCAGGTGCGTAAAGGTGAGGCCTTGGTGCTTCCGCAGAAGCGGACAAGTAACCGCAGAAGCGGGGTCCGCATATGCGGACAGAGGACCGCAGAAGCGGTCGTTGGTTTAATGAAGATCCACAGAAGCGGAATTATAACCGCAGAAGCGGTAGCCGCAAATGCGGTAAAGGAACCGCAGATGCGAAAATCACTGTTCTCAGAAGGGTTTTAAAGCTTATTTTGTTTCGCGAGCTTAAGTCCATTTCCACCTTTTTTGATCGACCTTGAGAGCTCTTGGACGGAATTTGAAGGGGATTTCGACTAGGTGTGATTGGAGGTGAGTTCCTTGACCTAAATACATGAATTAATGGTAGAATTTGCATTGAAATTTGTGGAAATTCATCAAAAGAGGGTAAAGCTAGGGCTTGGGAATTTGATATTTCAAAGTGGAATTTGAGGGGTCAAATGGACTCCGATTTTGGTAATTTTGATATGTATAGACTCGTGGCGAGATAAGGAATTCGGTGATGTTAATTTTCTGATTTTTCGAGAAGTGGGCCCGAGGCTCGGGTTTTGTCAACTTCGTGAATTTCGAGTCTTTTTGATTGGGTTATATTCCCTTAGCCTATTGTAACGTATTCGTTGTGGTTTTGGCCAGATTCGACGCGCGAGGAGGTTGATTTGCGATGCAAGGGCATAGCGAGCTAGGACTTTGGCCGGCTTGAGGTGAGTAATGGTTATAAACGATGTCCTGAGGGTTTGAAATCCCGGATTTGCACAATGTAGTGCTATGTTGAGGTGAGACACACGCTGCATGTCGAGCGTGGGGTCCATTACTGCTGGGGATTTGGACTTGGTCATCCCGATTGATGATTCTACTGTATTTTTGACGGAGGCTTAATTAATATCATTATAGTTTGGGCTAGTAGCCATGTTTGGGGCCTTGTGCCGACCTGTAGAACCCGTAGGGGCATTTGTACTGATTGACCTCACTTTACTTGTTAAAAATCACACCCTCAGTCATGTTTCTAACTGTTTAATAAATATGAACTGGCTTTGAAATGGCTAAACCAAAATGAGAGTAATATGAGGGCTGAAATCCCTATCTTATCTTAGTATGCCCGAGGGGCGAAGTTTATATTGACTGAGAGGGGTTGAGAACCCAATAGTGAGGATGACTGATATATTATGTGGATCGGGCTGCACGCCGCAGCAGTATACTTATATGGATTGGGCTGCACGCCGCAGCAGTATACTTATATGGATCGGGCTGCACGCCGCAGCAGTATATTATGTGGACCGGGCTGCACGCCGCAGCAGTATAGCGCTTGGGCTGTAGGAGCCCCTTCGGAGTCTGCACACCCCCAGTGAGCGCAGTCGACTATTATTATTGGATCGGGCTGCACGCCGCAGCAGTATATATATATATTATGGATCGGGCTGCACGCCGCAGCAGTATATCTATACGGATCGGGCTGCACGCCGCAACGGTATACTATGATTTCGGTTATTGTGAAATAAATGAGTTGAGTACTGGCTTAAAGGATTTTTCCTAGCTTCTTCATTTAGTTGTTGTTTAAATGTTCTTACTGCTTGATATAGAACTGCTTAGTGCTCTTTACGAGATTTCTTTCCGTCAGTCATTATTTATTGCTATTACTCACTGAGTCGGAGTACTCATATTACTCCCTGCACTATGTGTGCAGATACAGGTATTCCGGAGGTGTAGATTGAGCTGTCTTTGCTGTTCAGATCTCACCGGAGTCATCGAGGTAGCTGCATGGCGTCCGCAGACCCGATTTCTCCGTCTATCCTCTTTACTTTCAGTATTTTAGACTATCTTTTGTTTAGGCTATTTCTCAGACTTGTATTAGAGGCTCTTGACTCGTGACACCGGATCTTTGGACTTGTAGTGATGTTATTACGTTCTTTCCGCGCATTGTATCCACTGTTTCAGACTTGTGTTTTATGTTAATTTGGTATTTGAACCCTGTTAATTCGTAACGAACTCTATGTGAGGGATTGAGAGTGCTGAAATGGTCGGGCTTGCCTAGCATTGTGTTGTGCGCCATCACGACCGGGGTTGGGGTCGTGATACATGTCCTTAACTTTTGAACTTAACTTCAGCACTTCAGGACTACATGTCCTTAACTTTTCAACTTGTAACTGTAAGTTCAGGACCAAGTGTCCTTAACATTTGAGCTTGTTAGTCTAGTTCAGGACCTATTGTCCTTAACTTTTGGGCTTCTTACCCTAAGTTCAGGACCTATTGTCCTTAACTTTTGAGCTTGTTAGTCTAAGTTCAGGACTTCAGGACCTATTGTCCTTAACTTTTGAAATTGTAAGTGTAAGTTCAGGACCTATTGTCCTTAACTTTTGGGCTTCTTAGCCTAAGTTCAGGACCTATTGTCCTTAACTTTTGAGCTTGTTAGTCTAAGTTCAGGACTTCAGGACCTATTGTCCTTAACTTTTGAACTTGTAACTGTAAGTTCAGGACCTATTGTCCTTAACTTTTGAGCTTGATAGTCTAAGTTCAGGACCAAGTGTCTTTAACTTTTGAACTTGTAACTCTAAGTTCAGGATCACTAGTTTATTATTATTTTCCAGATCCATTCACAGGTGCACTTCATCAACCAATTCAACTAGCACAACTACGCAAAAGAATTTAAGAGACGCCATCCATGGTAGTCGTATTTAATTTTTTTGGATGACGAAATGCATCAATAAGCAGTGGAATATTTAGGAGTATAATTTTTAACAACTTGACACTAAAACTTAAATTAAATAAATCCTTGCTGCAACTTCGAAGTGACATTAGAAGAGTTGACTTCAAGAAATTGTTCCAACAAAGTTTATCCATAGTTTAAGGAATGCAAAATTCCTCACACAAATGAGAAATCAAAACAACAGATGCAAGTATAAAGATTTGCAAAGGCAAAAACGAGGCAGCAAAAATAATGTAGAAAAAAGGGTAACACAGTCTTTTTATATTAATTTTAATAGACTACTGGTTACTATTGTTAAGCATTAAAAATACTGGATAAAAAGTAAATACCACTTTAAAAAGTGGCTACCCCACACGATTTTTACAATGGAGAACAAAACTTCAGCTGCTATGCTTAAGTTCAACAATTACAAACAAAAAACTTCAGCACACGTGGTTCAACACACTTGCTACTTCAGGCCCGTCTACTAGAATGCTGAAGTTTTGCGTGATTGCCTTTGCTACTTCAGCCCCGTATGCTGAAGTTACGCGAAAAAGTGGGTACGCTTGCAATTTTTTTTGCAAAACGAGCACAAGTTAAAATGTAACCCAAAAAGCGAGTATAGACGCAAATGCCCCCTCAACTACGTATTTCCTTAAAAGCCCAGCCCAACCGTATCCCAAACCTGCCAAATTCCACAATTACGTTATCTGAAAAATCTAGTAGAGGAAGAAGAAAGCCAAGTCATGCTTTAGACACTTGTATGTAGGGCTGAGCATAATTTGGTAAATACCGAATTATCGTACCGAAATTGAAAATGTTGGTATTTTGGTATACGGTCTTTTGGTATTTGGTTTAATTTTTAAAAAAATGGTATTAGGTATGGTATTTGGTATTTTAAGATAAAATACCGAAGTTCTGATGACGTACCGAAATATATATTATATTACACAAAACACATATTATCAATTATAACATAAATATAGAAAATCTAAAATTTTACTTTCCTTTATTCTCAAAGTTGATCAATTAACTCTAAACAAGTAACAAGACATTTCTAATAATCAAATATTCTTTTATGTACTATTTTCTCTGTTTGGGTCGATATTTGATAGTTTTGGACAAATTTTTTGTCAACAAACATTTTCAGTTTTGTATTTTGAGTACTTTAATTAAGAATATTAGAGTGTATGGCTTTATGCACTAGTTAGTATTCAAACCGAATAAACCGAAACCGAAAGGAGAAAAATTGAATCATACCGAATTAAATTAGCTACGGTATTGGTATAGGATTTTGAGAAACCGAGTACCGAAAATACCGAACCGAAATGTCTAAACAGTGTACGGTACCGACAGACGAATACCCCTACTCGTATGTACTAAATAATAATAACAATAATAATAGTATTAAATAATAATAATAGAAATAGTAATTAAATAATAATAATAATAATATAAGTATATTATTACATTTTGATGAACTTTATAAAGTATTATTACTAGTACTTATCATGGTGCTATTAAAAAGGAGGTTTGACCTCTTTTAATAAAATAACAAAAAAGTATTATCATAGGAATAACGATACAAGAAAGTATGGAGAATTTTACTAGAGGTCTCAAATTAGACTGGATAAAATTGTAATTTATAAAGATAGGAATCTAGCATAATCTGAAATTCATTTAACAGAAATGAGTACAGTTTCTAAGCCAGTAATCTACACTTATTTCCTCTTGAATAACTGATTATAGTAAGTGTAAATTAGTAACTCGAGAAAAAAAAAGTACAAATAATCTGTTACAATTGCTAAGAGTATATTAACCACGTGATAGAATGTTTACACTATCAGTTAGCCAAAATGTTACTCCACTATACTATATTTGATCATACTCTACGAGATAAAACCAATCAGCATCTAATTACGTTATGTTCAATAATATTTCATTGTATGCATCTCAAAACCAGAAAAGACAATTAAACATGCCATTGCCTCCTCAACAAAGTTCATTTTAGCTGTCATGCGCTAAATTGCCTAGTATTAAATTTTCGTATTTTTATGAAGGGAGCTTGGAGCAACTGTAAAGTTATTTATGTGTGTGACGTATATATAGGTCACGAGTTCGAGCCGTGTAATCAGCCACTGATGCTTGCATTATGGTGGACTACCTACATTACACCCCTTGGGGTGCGGCCTTTTCCCAGACCCTGCATAAATCGTCCACGAGTCTGCCCTTTTTTAATTTTTCATATTTTTATATTCTTCTTCTTTCTTCTAATTTTTACCTTTGGTTTTCCATTTTCACAGCAGCCAAATCAAACAGAATGCAGAGGATGAAATTAAAGTATACAATACGGAATGAAATTAAGAAAAATATAAAACCTGTGTAGTAATGATGAGAAGCCAACTAGCACCAAAAGAAATGCTCCTGCCATAAAAAGCCTTAATAATATTAACAATTCCAACAGCATAAGCAGACCCATTTTGAAAAGAGATGCCAGCATTTGCAAAAATAGTGATAACCACATGCTCCTTCATGTTAAATGGACCCGGGTTAAGTGAGAACTCTCTTGACCCGAACCCGAGGATCCGAAACTTGGTTGTGGTTAATACAGCTTCCATGAACCGTCCAATGGGGAGAGTAGCTACTTGAACTGTGACTTGGGTAATAATGAGTGGTTCTTTTCTGAAAGAGAAGAATTGATTGAGAAAAGAAAGGAGTATTGAGATATGTTTAGATAGATAAGCATTTTGTTATGTTTAGTTAGTTAAGTTAATTGTAATAGCTGAGTCAGCAACTTTACTCTTACTTCTTTTACTTGCAGCTACAATATTTGTACATATATACACACATTGTAATAGAGGAAAATAATGAGAGACACATTTTACAATTTCATTTCATCTGCTCTCCTTCCATATATTTTTCCCTTCCTTGGAATATTCTAGAATCACCATTTAAGCTCTTGTACGAGCTTCATCCTCCGTTCAATGTAGCAATCTCCATATTGTATCAGAGCTGGCTGAATACGTTCGCCTGACACTATAAAAAAATGCTGAATTTGCTACCAATTTGCGGGGTTTTTTTGATAGACCGCCGTTATCATATAGCGGCGGGTATTTGACGGCGGTATAACCTCCGCAATTTGGTAGTTTGGGTGTCACTGATTAAAAAAATAGCGGAGGTCTAAAACCCCCGCAAGCGTTTTATTTAACCTCCTCAAATTTTATAACACAATATTATTATTAGGTTAAATAGCGGCAGTTACAACCTCCGCTATTCATTGAAATTATTTTTTTTGTTTTCCTGCAATGTTACTCCATAACTGTTCCAATTTCAATTATATTAGTATAAATTGCTTACTGGAATCAAGTAACATCAATATATTAATAAACCACAAAATACATTAAAGTAAATTATCATTTGTCTCAAAAATTTGCTTTAAACACAACTACTCCAACCATTAAACACAAAACATCAATATTATAATTAGTCTTAAAACTAACTTTAAACAGAACATTCACTCCAACCATTATGGACAAAAGATCTACTATGACCATTCAATCGAGTACGATACTTAATTATCTAATACATTTGCAAGCAACTTCAATGGTTGTCGTTAGGATTACTTCCACCGGATGATCTTCTTATATCCATGGGTGAAATAGATCCGCTAGCCGCATCACTTGGCTACAAAACAATCAAAATAATATATAATTAACAATAAGTACCTCAATAATATCCTAACTAATAATCACTTAGCACTGCAATGCGCTGCTAGTGAAGCACCAGCAAGACCTAGTGCTAGTGATGTTGCAAAGGGACTCTTTTGTGAGATCAAATTTTTTTGTGATACTTTTACGGTTTAGGACAGAGAAACTACAAAAGGAACGAGCAACGTTTAACATTCTTGACATTCAAGCCATAAGTTTACATATCAGCAGCTTGTTCATATGATTACCAAGTGAATCGATCCACATCGTAATTGCTCCAATTAGCACAACATACAATAGCAACCATAGTGAAATCAGAATCTCCAATTATACATGGTATGACATTTTCAAATCTTGTTTTACCAAATCATCATCAAAATAAGCACCTGCAACAGACATATTAGACCTTAAACTATTAATGTTGACACCAACATGATTATCATTAATATCTCCAAACACAAAATCTTGTACTGTATCAAATTCAACAGCAAATATATGATTAGAGAAATTACCAACATCAGTTGCATTGAGTAAACCTAAATACTGACTTGGAAGAGCTGTGCTTAAATCATTGAATTGAGAAATGGTAAAAGCAAGTCCATGTCCACCAAGTTTTGGATATTCAGGCACTATAGCAAGAGCAAAACATGTTGAAAAAGAAAAAGCAGTGCCTGTAGTTGAGTTCTTAAACTGAAAAGGTGAAGAATAGAAAGCATGACCCATAAATCTACTTGTTTCATTGGTTAATTGAATAAATCTATTTTGGCTTATTTCTGCAACTCCACTTAATGTCATAACATATATTAATTCCAACTTAAAAGCAGTGGAATTAATATATGTTATTGTAAGGACCCGACCGGTCGTTTTGAGCTTTTGCACCTTGATCGTCAGTTCTCGGGCATGACTTGCCCCGTGTTATGCATTATGACTAATGTAGATCATTGGTTTTGGATTTCAGGAAGAATTGGAATGAATTTGAAAGAACAGTTTCAGTTGAAAGCTTTGAATTGAAAGGTTTGACCGAGTTTCCTTAAGGAGTTGCCTTTCCGCAGATGCAAGCTTGGAGCCGCATCTGCGATGCCGCAGATGCGGCGTGTGGACCGCAGAAGCGGATAAGGGCCATCGGGTGTTCCGCAAAAGCGGGCAGGTGTCCGCAGATGCGGTGTCCGCAGAAGCGGATTTAGACCGCAAAAGCGATCCTGAGCGCAATAGTATATTTCCGCAGAAGCGGAGGAAATACCACAGAAGCGGTAACCGCATATGCGGTACAGTGATCGCAGATGCGAAAAGGGCTGGACAGAAAGGGTTTTAAAGGTTCATTTTGTTCCGCGAGCTAAGGCATTTTTCCACCATTTTTAGCAAACTTAAGAGCTTTTGGACGGGAATTGAAGGTGATTTCGACTGGGTGTGATTGGAGGTGAGTTCTATGACCTAAATACATGATTTAATGGTAGAATTAACATAGAAATTTATGGAAATTCATCAAAAAGGGGAAAAGCTAGGGCTTGGAATTTGATATTTTAAAGTGGGATTTGATGGGTCATTTGGGCTCGGATTTGGGAGTTTTGGTATGTATAGACTCGTGGCGAGATAAGGAATCCGATGATGTTAAATTTTCTGATTTTCGAGAAGTGGGCCCGGGGCTCGGGTTTTGCAAATTTCGTGAATTTCGATATTTTTCGAGTCTTTTCGATTGGGTTATGTTCCCTTAGCCTATTGTAACATATTCGTTGTGGTTTTGATCAGATTCGACGCGCGAGGAGGTCGATTTGCGAGGCAAGGGCATAGCGAGCTAGGATTTTGGCCGGCTTGAGGTGAGTAATGATTGTAAATGATATCCTGAGGGTTTGAAACCCCGGATTTGCACACCCTAGTGCTATATTGAGGTGACTTGCACGCCGGATAGCGAGTGTGGGGTAGAGCACCGTTGGGGATTGTGACTTGGTCCGTCCCGATTGATGATTTTATCGCGTATTTGACTGAAACTTATTTGTTATTATCATGATTTGTGCTGATTGCCATATTTGGGCTTCGTGCCAATTATTTGAACCCTTCGGGGATTTTATCACTGTTTCCTCACTGTTTTGACGTATTATTTGAACTCAGTCCTGTTGATATTTACAGTTTTACAAACTCAGCCAATTTTACTCAGATTTGAAACTTAAATGATATTTCTAAATGATATTTTAGGCTGAGAACTACTGTTTTACAAATGCCCGAGGGGCTTGTGATGATTTTCGGACTGAGTGAGGCCGAGGGCCATATGTGAGGATATGCTGAGTGATATGAGGTCGAGGGCCTGAGATACTTTATGTGCCACGAGGTGGCTTGAGTGACGTGAGGAGGCTTTCAGGCCTTATGAGTGATGTGAGGAGGCTTTCAGGCCTTATGAGTGATGTGAGGAGGCTTTCAAGCCTTATGAGTGATGTGAGGAGGCTTTCAGGCCTCGTGTGTGATGTGAGAAGGCTTTCAGGCCTTATTTTATATGCCACGAGGTGGCTTGATATTGCGCTTGGACCGTAAGGGGCCCCTCCCGGAGTCTGCACACCCCCAGTGAGCGCCGTCGACGATATATGGATCGGGCTGCACGCCGCAGTGAGTTGTGGATCGGGCTGCACGCCGCAGCGGTTACTATATGATACTGTTCTGAGAGTGATCTGAGAGAGAGAGCCCGAGGGGCTGGTACTGTTTTGAGATATTGCCCGAGGGGCGAACTTTTATGTGCTCATCTTGCATATTTACTTGCCTTTTTACCTGTTATACTGTGATATTTGTGCTCGAGGGGCAATTTTTCTGTGCTTATCGGCACTAACTGTTTTGAAATCATTTCGTAACTGTTGGAAAGATCATTTTAAAAAGAGATTTAAACTGAGCCAAGAGATTTCCAAAGATTTCACAGCTTCACTGTTTTTCTCAAAGGATTGTACCCTGCTTCTATGCAGCATGTTGGTTGCTTTACGTGATTTCTTACTGCTCAGTTGTTATTTACCTTTATTACTCAATGAGTTGGAGTACTCACTTTACTCCCTGCACCTAGTGTGCAGATGCAAGTATCTATTCACCCGGTAGCGGGTTTTGGGCCGATCAGAGGCAGAGTTATATGAGTTAAGGAGGTGACTGTCAGCGTTCGCAGCACCATGTCTCTCTCTTTTGTTCATTATTCCGGTTCTTTACATTTTAGACCCTGTAGTAGATTTACATTCTGATAGATGCTCGTGACTTGTGACACCCCGGTTAGGGCTGTGTTGGCTTGGCTTTCCGCTGATTAATACTATTAAGTCATATTTACGCTGTTTATTTATGTTTAACTATTTTTGAAAAAGACGAGCGGGTTAGTTGGCTGGCCTCGTCTTCACGAGAGGCGCCATCACGACCAGTGCGGGGTTTGGGTCGTGACAAGTTATGACATTTTCAAGCACTGATTATGAATATTTTCAAATAATTTTTTTGCTTCCTCTTATCTCTTTCAACATTAATGCCAGGTGCCAAAATGTAAAAGGCGTCACCAGTTAGTGGTTAGTTCGACCTAGCAGACAGTTTCAGAATTAAAATGTGTGCATGAGCAAGATACTTTCAAAATTTCTGGAGCAATCATAATATTGAGATATTAGGAAAACTCAACTTGAAAAGTTATGCTAAAAGCTCTGACAGAGAATATAGACAGTGAATTTAACATAAAGATTAAATTGACTTGCGAAGTTTGTGAATCTAAGAAGCAAGAAAGCATTCTTCAGGTATCCCAATTTAGAGTAATATCTGGACTGATCAATCATACTTTATAAAATTAAATAAGAAAGTTACGAACTATTCTTCCCGTTGAACGAACGAGTAGGGGTGTGCATTCGAATCGGTTTATCGATAAATCGAATCGATTATTTGTTATCGAAATCGAAATCGAAAAAATCGAAACCTTATTGAAACGATAACGATAAGCATATGTACAAATCGATAATCGATAAGTAATTATCGATAAGGGTCAAAATCGAATCGATAAATCGAATGCACACCCCTACGAACGAGGAGGAGAAACAAATATCCCTGCAAATTCTTCAGGTATCTTCCCTTCTTTCATTATCATATACGCCTTAAAAGCATTCATTTGAGTGTTAGCATTCATCATCATTTAAGTGTTAACATTCATCATTTCTCTGTAGTTGTCTTGGCTTTGATTGTGAGCATTCAACATTTGATTGTACTTCTCTTGGCATTGGGAAGAACATGAACCATTATTATAACTTGAAGCATTCAAATCACTATAACGAGTCTTGTTTGTCTAAAAGCTTTGCCGGGAACAACTCCTAATCCCAAGCACCTTACCCTTCCAGAGTGCTCTTTTCCCAGCACCTTACCAACGGCATCATTTGCGAAATTTCAGACTCATCCACGGTGCTTTGGCTCAATGCTAGTTCAATATTTTCCTAAATACATTACACACCAAAAGTAAGTGTCCTACCTTCAATCAGTGATTGATAAGTTATTAAAAAAAAATAAACAAGAGAAGAAGAATATTTTTTTTCTTTTTATATCAATTACAACCAGCTTCTCATGCTTATATGTTCATAACATTACATGTAGAGCTTTTCGGAAGAAAATCACTAGCACAAAAATAATAGAGGACCCAAAATTTACGAACAAGAAAAAAATGAAATACTGAAGAAAACAATGAAAAAAGATAAAGAAGAACAAGGGGTCCATATATTGGCTGCATTGGCAGAATGTCCCCTTCCAATTGGAAAAGGAAAACAAAAATGGCCAGCTTTCTTGGGTCAGTTACCTTGGAAAGATCTGTATCTAATGAGCTTATTGCCTATCCAGTTTGTTAGTAGTCAGTTCTGAAGGGAAGACATCATTTTGTTGTTTCAGCAAAACATAGCAAGTGAACTACTTGGTAAAGTACCTATCTACCTGGAACCTATATAATTGTCTTGTTTCTTCCCCAGATGGCAATCAGCTTTTGGTTCATTGGATCAATAATAAGTTAAAACACAACCATATTATTATGACATGTCTTTTGTCAACAATAACTATATTCTTGTATAATCATGAATTAGTGCGTAACAACAATCTACCTGTATGCTAGTCATGTATAAACAGTGTATATTATAAGACAAGGTACTAAATGATTGCAAATTTGATGGAAGAAATTAAAAACTTACACATATCTCTTTTGCTGCCTCATTAACATATGATCCATCTTCATTCCTATGTTTAGCGAGATAAAGCTGTCCTCGTCCAGGCTTTTGTCTAGTCTCAGCCATCTATAAATGAAAAAGTTAAAGTCGCATTAACTTAACTAACTAAGAATAGTTGCTAGTTTAATTAAAGTATTCAAAATAAAGCAATACCATTTCAGCCCTTCTTCTGGAGTTAGGTTTGGAGCCACCAATATGTGAAATAATTTGTTTCTTCCGAATTTCAACATTTCTTTTACAAGTTTCCTTACAAAAAGATACCACAAATTACACATACTTGCCTATTGTATACTTGTAAAACCATAATATCTGTTTAACAAACTTCCATTTTAGTTAGATACAGTCTCTCTTTACAGAATAATAATAGGCACAAAGCAACCTCTTATGGAACCTCCGAAGGTTCAACCTCTTGTACAAACAAATATATAATTACACATAATAATTGAAGCATTAAAATAATACCTGTGTCTTTTCTTTAAAGCGGTAATCAACATAAGAAATCCATTGATCTGGTGGAATTCCCAGTGGAACGCTATCCATTATCTCAGCTCTGCTCTTAAGTGGATCATAGACCTTATCAAACAACTTTAGCCTTTTTGCGCCCCACTTCTTACACATAAAATTATAAACATATCGTCTTGCATTTGACTCAGTTGTCCGAAAACAAAATCGTGGCTTCAAGAATAAACCAATGATTAGATACTTATTATATGCAAATATAAAATCTAGTGACATAAAATAGAGAAATTGTATGCCTCAGGAATACCTTTATAAATCGATCATAACAACGGTTGAAGATTGTCACAGGTAAATCCGGTCATTTCTCAAAGTGAATTGGAAAAATGGAGCAGTCAGTTGCTAAAATTCCACAAAAGCCTGCAAAAACGCCTTGTCCTTCACCAATGGGAGAATCCATGTCGTCAAAATCAACCACAATATGTTCTCCATTAGATAAATTTAACACGTTCCTTTTCTTCACTTTAAGTATCTTGCTAGCTCCTTGTGAATCTTAAAAGATAAAAACAAAAATCAATGTGATTCTTAAACAAAAATCAATGTGGTTCTCTATTCTTTGATCGAGGCATGCAGTAAATTCAAGGGTATTAACACTGTGAACAAAAAACATATGCCTAAGCTAGTGAAACAGAACAAGCAAAAAAGAAAACGAATAACACTACACATATATGATATGTACATGCATGGGAAGTTCTGTTTGTACACGAGGTGATTGCACAAGACATGCAAAAAGTTTTGTTCATTAATGGCAGATTATTATACATACACAATCTTCCTCTTTTATTGTGATTTCAATTCATGGAATTGATGTGAGAGTAAGATACAAGCAGAAATGGAGCTGAGTTGGGATGGTATGGCCAGGAATGGAGATGAACACCGATGATTTAGAAACTCTGGTCGGGCACTAAGAAGAATAGGAATACATGGACTTGAAAAGTAAATGCCGAGCTAAAACTTTCATAAGAATCAAGATATAAGAACATTCAAATTTGTAATCAAACTCCTCATCAGAATATAAAAAACATGGAATGAATGCAAGAAAACTCCTCACTGAAAACCAGGAACATAGATAACGTCAAAAGACCAACTTTGAATGCATATATACATACAATACAGAAGGTTCAGGTACTTGTTAACCAACTGTAAGCACAGAATTTTACAGTAAAGAAGTAAATGTCATTATTGCATACTTACAGAATTTTATCTCTTGCTCTTCAAAAATGGTATAACACAAAGCTTAGTAAAGCAATGTATCAGTTTACAGGAATTCAAGAGGGTTCTGCCGAGCAAAAAGAGATAAGAATGAATTAGGGATTGTGGGAATTCAGTGAGGATCCTTCTAAATTTGCAAAATGAGGAAGGATGCAAGAGGTTTGATAACGAATGTTAAGTGATGATAAGCATTAAGCATAGGTTCTCTATTCTTTGAGGTAACAGATTGTTAGTTGCGGCGTAAAATAGGCAGAATGTATAAATGAATGGCAATAACATACCTATTGCATCTACAGTCCAATGTTGCGCAGACACGCGTCCACTACGCTTTCTAGATGGTGGTTGTTGTGACGCGGCCCGGACTGATGGAACCTGCTGTGTTTGTTGTCTGATCTGACATAATTGGATTTGCTGCAACCTGACTTGAAGGTGTTGGTCGTGCTGTCGGTTGAATAAATGAAGTCAGCTGTGGTGTATTATCAAAATGCGAATGTGTTGATTCAGTTGATAAAGGTTGTGCTACACCTTGTGATGTAGATGCTGACTGAATTGAGTTCTGCAAGTTCTCATAATGCTTGGACTTCGGCATACCTGCAAGCAACAAAAGAAAAGCAGGAGTTCACAAAATTAGTAGAAGAAAAGTCGAATAATTTAAGAAGAAACAATTCACACATGCATCCTGTTAAACCTGAATAAGAAAGACATACTCATCTCCAGAACTAAAACATGGCAAGTAAATGCAAATTATATAATGATATAAAATTAAATATAATGATATTTCTTTGACTCTCAAAGGGATGAAAAATACTCATCATGAAGAACCGGAGGAAAACCTAAGGACTGGCCTAATTCCTATTCAAACATATGCTCCTCAATTGCAAGTTGAACATTTTCATAATTAACATCAAAAAATTGTTCAAATTCTTGTTGTTGGGATGGCTCATTCTCGTATATTTCTCCTTCAACCACCTCTCCCATATCAAACATATCTCTTGGCTTTAAATGTACGGCCACACTCCATCCTTCATCAGTTTCATCATTAACATAGTACACCATATTTGCTTGAGATGCTTCAATATAAGGATCATGCTCCTCACGGTCATCAGTGTGAATCAATCTAGAAGAATTAACACAGTTAAAATTCCAAGCATCTCTTTCGAACCCTCTATCTCGAGTAGTGTCATCCCACTGGCATTTGAAGAGCACAACCTTAAACTGACCATAATAATTAAGCTCAATAATATCTTCCAACTTCCCATAATATGGCAAGTCTGCTTGCCTCGCATTTCTGTCGGTGTTGGATGCAATACAAGAGGTGTTAGAGGTAAGAAAAATGTTGCAGCCAAATGCACACGCAAGTATACGCGGTCGTCAAGTAATAAAGTAACTAAAAGTCGGATGTCGAACCCACTGGCACTTGTGATTAACTATTAAATAAACTAGACTATCCTAATTATCTATACAAGAATTAAACCTAGAAGTATTTGATTCTAAGCTAATTAAAATAAATAAAAACAAATAATGAACTTTGAACAGAGGAAGAGCAGATTTTTATGTTATCAATATTATGAGAACGATCTAGGGTTATGGTCTATCTAACAATCATATTGTATTCTTCTATTGAATTGACTAATTAATTTATCTGGTTTATTGGTTGACAGGGTTAATATTGCTCATAAGAATCTGTCGAGTTCTTACTCGCCTATTCAAGCTAGTCTACCGCCTATGTGTCTATGAAATTAGAACTAACAAGAATGCATTTATAATTCCTGTAAATCAACCAAGTAAGGCAATTAGGTATATGTCTATCCTAACCGCGAATTCGTTCCCCGATGCCCAGGTTCAAGAACTTGCTCTACTCAATCCTTTATGCAATCTAGAATTCCCACTTTCGAGTTCAACTCTAGATTCGTAGATAGTATTCAATTGGTGATCAAGCAATCAAATAATTAAGTGCAGGATTGAATAAATAAACCAATATGATTAACTAAG